TCCTCGATTAGGAGAAAAAGGAGATAAAAGGAGAACATACAGAAAAATACAGTTGCAGATTAATTGACAAACATTTAAGGCGAGTAAAGTAGCGGGTAGAAAGTACTGCAATATTAAAGTGCATGAAGCAATTACCGTAATTAAGTTATTTATGTATAATGAATAAGCAAGCAAATATTTATTTACGTTTATTCATTTAAATACCAATATAGGGGTTAGCTACAAGACTACAAGTGCTACTGCTAAATATTGGATTGGATTAACTTCTAATTTAAGACTCAAAGTTAGAGAACAGAGAGAGATGATGCTATTTTAAAATAAGTAATAATTTCTTTAGATGTTTGGGTTTATTTAAATAAGGATTTATTTTTTGATTATTTGCGTGCTCTTTTGCTTTTATTAATCTTTTTTTTTATCTACCAACACTGTTTGCTCCACCTGTGTATAGCCTTGTTCGCATTCAAAACACAGGTTTATGAATGCATACATATTTATTTCGAAATGAATGCAACGTATTTTTAATAAAAAAATATATAAATAATTATTTATTTTCATGTCGTTATATTCAGTAAGAACCGACTTCAAAAAGTAGGTTTTTTTTTTATGTCCGTAACTCCGTCGTGCGTAGACGGATTAGCAAAATTACTTTTTTGTTCGAAAGAGGTTTATTCCGAAATGGTCCCATTTAAATTTCATATAGATCTGATGACGAGTTTCGGAGACAGACAACGGAGCTCTTCAAAAATTGACAGCAAATCAACCGCGATTCCTGCTAGGTTTTTAGTGCTCTTTGTAAGTATTGTTTGAAGCCGGTTCAACTCTTTTTTAAAGGATTTTACTTGTTTAAATAAGTTTTATGTATAAATTGAATACGACTTGAGGCACAGAGAAAGTACTTAACGCACGTTAGCAACATTCTTATTTTATAATATTCGTTTTCTTTATGATTAGGGGGCGGGCAGACGGGTCACCTGATAGATATGTGGGTAACGTTACTTAATATGAAATATGTAAAATCTTAAATGCATATTTGATATAATTGGTAGGTCTATTTTAGTAGTTTGATTATGTTCCTTTTAAAGAAACTAGGACGCAATTATTTTACTATTGAAGCTTTTTTTAAATCAAATTAGACAACGCCAGCAGTAGGAATATATCCTGTGTCGCAGGGGACTTTACAAACATACATGAAACGGACACAAAGAACACCCAGATTCAGAACGACAATTTGTGGATCACACAAAGTGTCGTCCCATGTGGGGATCGAACCCACTCAGCGTAGTAGGAAGCGGCGTGGCGACCGCTTAAACTACTACGCCATCCCTGCAATCTCTGTTTGCAATTTCTTTCTACATTTTGTGTCAAAATACTCAAACGTTTTAAAGGGATAAGGCACAGAAGTTTTTTCCTAAACCTAGAGTCAAGTATATGCTGTGTATCATATTTATTTAAAAAAGGGATGCAAAGAATTTTCTTAACGTATATAAATTTTAGTCTACGGCTTTCAATACTACGAATGCGAAGGAATCTCTGACTATCGAAGCTTGATATGAAATGGGGAGCTTGCTCGGTGTGGCATGAAATAGTTCATAACAAAATTCTCGATACATTTGCATGGCAGTTTATCCGTGTGGGAACGGCTGAAACTACCTGCCGTAAATGTGTATGATAATATTATAAAGCTGAAGATTTTGTTTGGTTGAACACGCTAATCTCAGGAACTACTGATTCGAATTGAAAGATTATTTTAATGTTGATAGTTCATTAATCGAGGGAGGCTATAGGATATATAACATTACGCTACGACCAATAGGAAAAACGAGCATCTATGAAGAATGTTGCAAAAACGACGAAATTCCTTCTGAGACGAAGACAAAACTTTTTAGGTCAGCTGGCATGAGAAAAAGAATTGTTTAGGGAACATGTTACAAATTTTTCCTGATGTTTTCTTTTTGCATATGTAAAGAAAAATGTATTTTTATTGAAATTTATTTTTTATTACATTACTTCTGACATCCAGGATAGCCAATTGACAACGTCCGGTGAGACATCCGGCTATCCAGCTTTACGGATGACAGGGTAGCCGGTAAACAGCTATCCGTAATTTCCAAAATTCTTCTTCAACTTAGGTTCTTTTCCAACTTATTGAATCAAAGAATCAGACAAACTCATACAAACTATTTCAATAAATGGTAGCAAAATCAACTGTTGATAGCAACACCTTTACCGAAATCAGTCCACAAATAGAGCTCGTTTACAAGCAAGTATTTAAGTTAGCAAGTGTAGACATACTGTCCAGATCAATCATACAGCAAAGGTCAACCCGCGCGTAGTCATTCGACGTCACTTAAAAGGGGTGACGTCAAACCAACCGCCTATATTTACATCATTTCAATTTTATCATCATATCATACGACGCCTACTGGTCGTAAACTTGTGAGCTAACTCAATACAACATATGTAACTTTATTACTAAGAGATCCTACTGAAGGAAAAAATGACATAATCGTAACAACTTTGATACAGTTATTATTTGTTTAACTGTTAATTTTTTATGGTATAGGAGAACAAACCGCATATGCGACTCAATTTTGGGAGGTGAGGGGGCGGGGTACTGGGCTCCAGTCTACTCACTCACTTGGTAAAAAGCGACGAAAGAACTGCTTAACACCGGTTTTCGGTGTCACTCAGGTCAGGTCGGCTCCTTTGTGTAAAAGCAATGCTCTCGCACGGTTTCTTATGGCTGACAATGAATTTTCAAAAAGTTCAAATAGTTCAATGAGTATGAAACGAGGTTCTTTAAAAAGAGTTCAGAAAAGGTTGTCCCTTTATTTCTCACCACTAGGCAAACCTTAAAAACTCTGTCAAACTTATGAACTTCTGCTTCTGAAATTTAACTTAGTAATAACTTACTAACTTAAATATACACATACTTAAATATATAAGTTTTTTTTAACAGACAACTTCTGCAATTCCTGTGTTGCAGGAGACTTTAGAAACATATATGAAGCGGACACAAAGAACACCCAGACTCAGAACAACAAAGTGGTGTCCCATGTAGACATCAAAGAGTTTCCAAATTGGAGAAATAACAAAGAAAATGTCGCAGCAGTCACTCCCACCTAACTTATTTAAATAATTGAATAATATATAAAAGTTTTCGCTACCAAATACAGTTGACCATCTGGCTAAATAATTTGCAACAGGTTCGCTTTTTTGTGTACAGTTTTGGTGTAGTTAGGTGTGACATTTAATGTGCGAATGAATAGATTACCCACCGAGATTTATCGACATGTAAAAATCTATCATCCATAACGGCTTGCATTGATGCCTACATAAAAATTCCGTTAATTTCCGTAACAGCATTTGCTTGACTATTTACTATAAAATCATTTATTCCAATTAAACCAATTACAGGTAAAATTGTAAATTGTAAGGTAAATTGTCTCAATTGTAAGAAGTCTTGAAGAAATATTAAGTTATTCTGTTGTTCGAAACGGAGAAAAATCATGCATCATGAAAATAGGTTCAGCCGTTCTTGAGTTTTGTGAACTAATACGTCTGTTTCTTATTTATTTTATGTAGGCCAAAGGGCCACCAAAGGGCATTTTTTGCACTGTTTATAATATACTGTATTTCGGGTTAACTATTTTTTTAAAGACAAATTACAAAAACTTAATTTAAGTAAATCTAATTCCAATCAAAAAGTTCAACTTGAACAATTTGTAGCTTAGAGGTTACCCGGTTAGTTCGGCCCGCAGCGTATAGATAATACGCTGCGGGTAACCTCTTAAATTATACTCTGTCTATTTGTTTATTTTCTTCTTGACAGTTGCATAAGAACGTAACTACGCTCGATTTTGTCAAAAATTGACTAAATGTCGTGATTTTTTTCGTTATGATTTTGTCCTTCAAAATAATGAATAGTAATTTATGCAATGAAACAGTAACATTTACAGCGCTTTGATATAAATAAACTGTTATAAAACTTAAGAAAATGGTTATTTTTTACAAAATACCTAAAAATCGTTGAAAACCAATTCAAAACTTTCAGCAATTATTAAATTAGTTGAAAGTAGATAATTTTATAAAATATTGAAAGAGTTAAGTAGCTTTTATGTAAAAAATAATTTCCTACTGTTTTAAAGCGATTAAAACTGCCTCCTAATTTAAAACGATAAATACTAATGAAATCGGCAATGTGTTTGGGCATTACTTTTTGACAAGTTTATATAGATTTTCATCAAGTAAGGCAGATTTTACATTCAATAAGCTCACAGAGATCTGGTGAACTAAATCAGTTATTGCTTATCTAAGTTTGAAGTGCATAGATAATGAAAATATCATCAATTTATATTGTTACCAACAAGTTCTTGGATAAAAATTACTTTTAGTTAAGTTATTAACCGCATCGTGGACTGTCCTGGAGCTATACAGTATTGAGAGTACTAAATGACTGCAGGTTACCACGATGAATCTATAACTTAAGAAAGTTTATTTATTACATACGCACGATGGCCTTTTTTTCTTTTTTGTTGACGGGGTGGAAAATCCCTTCGGATCTCCGGCTCCTTGGGGATGTAGGAGCCAGAGTTTGTGGTGTTTCCACTAAAAACCACCCCGACGGCCGGACTCAGGCGCCCTATTCCGAGGAGGACGCGGACCATGTTATTTCAGGTCCCCTCCAGATCGACGCCGCGCCCAGTAAAGTTCTATCCCGGGGAAGCTGCGGCCTTCCCCCGCCTATCGGCCCAATCGTTTTAATATGTTGCGGCCCGATCGCATTTTTGCGACCAGGCAGCCATCCTATCGCCTACCGCAGCAGGTAAAGTGCCACCAGAGGTACCAGAGGTACCTCTGGCAGCCTGCGGTATCGCCGCCGACGCCTCTCTACGACGCACGATGGCCATCAGGCCATAATAAAGAAAGAATGATCGTTTCTGGACGATAAATCTCAACGTTGACAGCCAAGACCTAAATTATACTTCTCCTACACCTACCTTTAATGATTTCCGTAGATGATATGATGACGTCACTCTCATCCATTCTCGCTTTGTAACACAGCAGTGCCGCTGATTTCTTTATTTTGAAGCCTTTGCTCAACAGGTCTCGAACATTTCCGACAGATCTCACTTCTTAAAAGTGGCTATTATATTTCAAACCATTGTAGGTATGTTGATTTTTGTTGAATATCGTTGAATATCTTCCGAGCTAGCATCTGAAATAAATTATTAACCAATGAAAAATGTATTTTTAGGTAGACATAGAAGTAAAGGTGACACACATTATAACGGCACAATAGTCCAACACAGTAGATTCTTGTTCGAATTGGAGACGGTCGACTTCAAACACTACCCTAACGGTTTAGTAATTCTTGTAGTCAATAGTGATGACTCAAAGAAGGGAGAGAGAAGTAAAGTTGATAACAAACAAGAGACGCATCTTTTGTGGTTAATAAAAATAATACCTGTCTCATAAATTGTGTTACAAAAATAATTATGGCGTCCTAGTGGCCTCTCTGAAGGTCATTTCTCGTAATAAAAATTCGTTTAAAATTCAGTTTTAATTTACTCTCGATCTAACAAATGTCATAAAAAGTATTAGCGTAGTAAAGTATTAAACATCCAACGTCGAATGTAATGTGATTATTTCACACTATGAACGAAAGTTGAATCGGTAATCAGTAGATTACCGATTCAACTTTTGTAGTAAGTAGTAAACTATTACTAAGACTAGCAAGTCTTGGTAATAGTTTACTACTTTACAACGAAAATACCTTTTGACATTTGTGAGATCGAGAGTAGATTGAAACTGAATTTTGAAGGAACTTCTGTTACGAAATTTGACTCTCTAATTTACAGGACTGACTGACGGGTACGCAACCTTGGTCTTTTCGAGTTTCTGCGCTCTCAGTTCCGTTTTAAACCGAATGCACCGAGAGACGGTTATGTTTGAGTCTTAATTGTGAGTGATACTGGATTACTGTGATACTACGGATTTTTGGCGCCGAATGATATGTTTTCTAAACGATTGTCTTCAAAATCTATCGAGTGGTTTATCAAAATAAATGGTTTCATAATTGACTGACAAAAATACTTACAACTTATAAGTATATTTAAATGTAATTTGGAACGAATAATGCTAATAGATATAAAATATGATTTATTTTGTGCATGTAAGTATGCGATTTTTTTTTTGTTTTTTTTTTCAATAATATTAACACTCGATATTAAATCTATCTTTACCCTGTACCTTAAAAAAAAGATAGTTATTGAAAGTAGTGCTATAAACAGTGTGTTATGTGTATTGTGTGATTTGCCTTCTTTACGAGACAATATAATCTAATACACATATAAGTATCAAGATTACAGAATAACCTTATTATATTACGTAAGCTATCGAGAGCACGGCAACATTTTCTCATTGTTGTTGACTAGAGCTGTATGGGAGAGGTCCAGAACACAATGGTCAATTATGCGATCTGGTCTGTTCGAATTCGATTGATGTTATGATTACGTTCCTAGCAGTTGCTCAATACTGCGCCGGCGCAGTGATGCTTAATAAACATTTTAGAACAGTTGTACCTTTTTTTATTTGATTGAAAAGCCATAATTGTATAATTGAAATAAATAAATTTTGTGTGGGGAGGAATGGCCGAATATAATGTTAGTATGCTTGCGATTCTGTGAGCAGGACGGGTGATAAGTCTAAATTTTCATTTTTCTTTGTTATCATTAGTGTTTTTTTATGTCTTTCATTATTGTAATTGATATAACCGGTATAATTTAAAGTAAATAAAGAAATAAAAATGTGTAAATAAAGATTCACAAAGTTAGTTAGTTGTCGTTTAAATTTTTAAGCTATTTTTGTTTATTTATTCATTGAAACTCCTTGCAAATATATTGCATAAGTTGAAAATAATGCCACAGGCACTTTCTTCCTATCAAACCTTTGTTGCAGAGCTATGTGTGGCAAAAACATTTGGAACTAGTAAGATGTTTTGAAGATGTATGTGACATAACCAATTTAGGTTTACATTACGGCTAAAGTAAAATTAAAAACTGTTTTTCTCACAAGTATCAATGCCCTTGCAAGTATCTATGCATTTTAAAACATTCATGATAGAGCTATTAAAGTTTTCTGTTAATTTTTCTAAAAAGGGAACTCGACAACTTCCAATTATCTAAATCCTTGCGTGGAAGAATGGATTTGCGTTTTTCCCACGATAAGGTATACTTTATTATCTACGAAGCCTAGTCTTGTCTGCGATGGAAAACTGTGTGGTATTAATTTCGATTACGATACCACTCCATCAATAGAACCACACAGGAGATGACTTGAGAGAGAATCCTTTCCTGGAGGCCCGCAACACGTTTGTGACTCCTGAGTTGCAGACGTTCATGAGCGGTGATAGTCACTTTCTATAAGGTGACACTGCTCGTCTGCCCCTTCTAATATAAGAAAAAGAGCCATCCTTCGCCACATATGTTCCAGGCTCGATCGTAGTGATACACACGGCCTCACAGAAAACCGGTGTTAAGCAGTGCGAGTGCAGGCCAAGTGCGATTTTATTTCACTTCTACTCGATCGTCACGGTGACCGCGTTCTACGCTACGATTGGCCCGCGCTGAAATCTGAACCAATCGCAACGCTAAACGCGCTCGCTATCGTGAGCGGGTGGATGTGCTTTTCACCGAGTGAGAGACGTTACCGGACCGTCCTCCTGATTCTGAGGGATGGGACTGAAAGGGTGGAAATGGAATGAAAACCTTTTAGTTGCAACCAGACACCTGTGTATAGGCGATGGTAGGCATTAACCATCATGGGACCCATCTGCTCGTTTGCCTACCTATATCATAAAAAAATTAGGCCGTGTGTTTGTGTTACTAAGTAAGTAGTACAGCAAAATAATTGACAAAACGATGTAACATAATATTACTGAATGTACCTACCGAATCCTATTAAATGGTCTAGCCTAGACGATAGATCATTCAATTAATGTGCACTAGCAGAGCTATTAACCACAGTACATTACTTCATAACTACCTATTTAGAAACTGTGTGCACTTCTTTTAAATTTAGTGCTGATCTAATGAAAATATTTATATAGGATTACGTAATATTTTGCTTTGATTGCAGCTTTTCTTCTGGATGGAATGTAATTTTAGTGATTTCAGAAGATAAATTCGATCAGATAGTTTTGTATAAGTAAATAATTAAGAAACCATCTGTTAACTGACTTCCTTTAAAAATAAAAAAGTTAAGTTTTTTTAGTATCTTTGACTAAGTATCATAGTTTTCAAAGATTTTTCGACCTCTGGGTAAACACACAAATACGAGAATGCACAGTATCGATATTGAATGTCAAATAAAACACATTTAACAAGATTGAAGCAGTTATACTACAAAATGACATAAAAGGCAAGTACATTTCCAGTTAGAAATTCCTAATCATTTATGTAAGTACTCTTCTAACTGGATACGTTAAATCTATATTCAAGAATTCCATAACAAGATTAACACATAGGTAACCAGACTATAAGTTAGAAAGCAGTGAATACTACAGCAGAGAACTACTACAGGTAAGGAAATTAATACAGCAAAAACAAACGATGTGATCGACACGATGATATGGGTTTGCGAGGAATTGGCTGTGATTTGGTCTTCATTCTTTTTTTTTTAATAAAAAGGACATATTTTTAAATCAAATGATGGTTTGCCATGTTTCAAATTTACTGTGAAATCCATTAATTCAGAAATGGATTTCACAGTAACTTTAAAACATTTACATTTGTTGAAGTCTATCGAAATAAATAAAACTAGTGTCTGTTTGTAATGTCAAAATAATAGGTTTTGTTTATGCTCACATGATTATTTGCACGACAGCTATTCCTAAAAACTAGTTTAAATAATTTTTTTGTCTGTTTGTTCCGGCTAATATTCAAAATGGCTCGACCGATTTTGATAATATTTTACTACCAGGTAGCTGTCTATCTAAGGAGTAACTAAGGCTATTTTTCCTCTTAAAAAACCCCATGAGATTTCGCTCGGTCCAGCAATGGTACCCGAGGCCTCATGGACTGCAGTCGCGTACCGTACAACACCATTAAGGCAGCGCTTTTCAAATTCCACGCGAACGAAGTCGCATTATCCATTACTTATCTGGTACTTTGCATTTCGAGGAAATAAGAGAGAAGTGTAGGAAATCTATGGAAAAATCTGGAATGAGAATACAGAATACAAAGAGTTTCTGCTTAGTTGTGTGGGTGATCAATATCTCTTAAAGTTTTATAGGTAAATTAATGTTGTTCCGATATAATCACCCCACCGGTGGGTGATATCCGAGGGGATTTCCGCACAGGAAAAAAAAATAGGTAAATTGATGTTTCTATAATATTTGTTTCTATGTGTTATTATATTATATTACATACATGTGCAATTGTATAATATGTGTAATTTTTTTTTAATTTTATATGCTTATTGATAAAAAAATATGTAATCAGTGATTGCAATTGTAACCTCGGTGCACCTACCCTACAAGATTTCTACACTGAAGGTTGGCTGGAAGGGATACCCAGGGCATTAAGTCCCCTGATGTAAATAAGTGCATGAAGATGTAAATAAATAAATATTTATTTCTTTGATTTACAGGCGATTTTGACACGTCATTTCTTCATGTGTGCAAACAAAAATGCTTTGCAATAAAATTATTTTTCAAAGTGGTTTTTCAGAGTTTTTTGAAATATAATCAAGGTAAGTAGTGTAATTAGACATTTTAACAATATTCGAACCGATTCAGTAGCCATTTTACAAGAATAAGGAGAGTTTTAGTATCCAATTAATCACTGTATTTACAGAATAGTAACAAGCGCGTAAGGCAATGAAAATCTCAAAGGACAACAATACGGATTATTATTAATATATTAATAGCTGCGAAAGTGACGACGAAAAAGGAACGATCAAAAGATTAATGGTAGAAAAATGAAACATGCACAAAATAAGACGGAGATATTAGAGGAGGACAGACAGAGAGATATTGTAGCTGGGACATCTAAAAATGATACAAATAATATTTCTAAAAAAAGAAAATACATAAGATGAAAGAGAGAGAGAAGCTGAAGCTAGCACATCCAAGAATGATTATCATCCAATTCTAGTAATAGAAAATATCCACAAAAAGGAAAACTTGTGTTGGTTAAATTTGACTCGGCTAAAGGAAAAAAACATTTAAGTGTGTTTGTTTGATTGACGATGTCGTGGACGATAAAATTGACATACAGGGGTTAAAGTCCAAAAACAAACAGAATAAATGTTTTCGTGTTTTTAAAAATGTCTATTCAATAATTGTTTTTTATTTATTATTTTATTTATTTACTTAGCTATAGAAAACACTATAAATGCAGCAGTAACATAATTGTTTAATTTTTGAGTAATTAAACATAGGTACAATTTTTCGACCTTCTTACATCCCAACCCTAATATGTAAATAATTGACGTAATAGCCCCACAAATACTTTGAAATGATTTTGCTGGAAATTGGTACATCCTAACTGGTCATACAACTCATATTGATGTTTTTAGTATCGTAAGCATTTTATAGCTATGTGTTTTCAGTTCATAGCTTCACAGATAGCAGATATATTTCAAATTGACGCATTTACCCTGCAGAGGGTTAAATAAACTATTGTGATTACTTTGAAAGAACATTACCTTTTTGAGTGTAAAATATGCTAGAAAACATATGATAGATAAATAGATAGTTACTTAGTTGTACGGGAAACTCACTGTTACTGTAACTTGGTAACAGAAACTTTACACATTTGTAAAATTTTATCTTATTTTTTTCTGATAGAATAGCCGCTATATCTTATTGGTTATTAACATTTTGTTTCTTGCAAATACAGTTTGCAAACATACTTATCTAAGAGACAAATAGAACTATTCATATTCACTGTTCTTATAACTAGCATTACCCTAGACAGAGCTCAGATAAAAATAATTTTCCATTTGTCAGGAACATTATTCCCGTTATGGACAAACAATATAGTAGTACACAAAATGAACAGATAAGTAACAGATTATACATATTATATAAAAAGATTAAGTTTAAGGACTGATTTTTACAATCAATCCAACAAAAAAAAAGTTTATTATAATAACATATCTTTGTTACAATAAACATTTAAATCAAGTAGATTCATTTATATAAAAGTGGTATTTATGATTTTTAGAATCATTAATTAAATAAATTTATATTTTTTATTTATTTACTAAATGCAACTAAGTTGTAATATAAATTCAAGAACTACTGGACTCATGTCCAGTAGTCGAATTATTAGAGGCTGTTTGAGGTTTTGATTAAAAAAACATGTTTTTATTTTACAGTAATACCTGGGTATTTTACTTAAATCATGAAATAATAGATAATAGAACAGGTGATAGTGACAATTTAAATATTGAAAATACATAAAAGATTGAATCTTTACATTCATATTTTTTCAAAAGTTTCAAGGTCAAACAATATTTTACTACTACTACTTTCTACTCTATTACTTTAGATGGGGTCTTATACTTGTGTGTGGATAGATTTTACTAATAAAAATTATTGGAGCATAAGAATTGCCTTTAATCAATGACCTTGAGTGAAATAGTTGTGTATTTGTAGAGTTCATTTATAAGGAACATAAATTCCAATAGTAAACCTATAAGAAATTTTGTAATTTTGGATGTGTGATGAATATTTTGAATAATATGTTCAGATTTTCAGTAGATTTGGAATAAGCCCCAGGTACACTGGTAATTTATGCTATCTATTACACAAAATCAACTTTTCTTACAATTAATAGAAAAGAAAAGCAGTTAGTAAAAAATCTAAGTTTTATAAGTATAAATAAACTACGAGACATTGAAACTGAAATTTTATTATGATACTCACCAGTTTATACAGTTGAAGCGGAGCGGAGTAGTTTTGATTATTGCCTTGATTACCGACGAAATTCAAATATTTAGATACAACACGAAGCCATAAGACTCGCAGAACTAACACTTATAAACACAATAATATAACATATAACCAGTTTTACTTATTATTAAACGTGCACAGCGGTAAATCATAAGACGAGAGTGCTGATATTTCTTATATTTCGTTCATTGTAATGTTTAGACGACGCAGTTTGTATCATTTGTAGAGCCGCGTAGGAGTCTCTTTATTAGGCGGCGTAGGTTGATTTCTTTACTCAAACCTAAGGTCAGCTCTCTTCGTACGAAAGCCAAGAAGTTTTCGCAAAATTACACCACATTTGCATTCTATTTCTGTTTCTAATTGGCATACGCCGACAACCTCAGTGTTTGAAAGACAAAATTGCACTGTCTGTTCAGTTGATAAGATGTAAACAGAAGTACCGGCCGTAACAATAGATCACACTGTGATTCGCCGAGGCAACACAAGGTCGTGGTTTAGCGTTGAGGCTGAATGCAATTTAATTCAATTTTGTCCTCTCTCGGTTTAAAGAGTGACGTTTAATTTTAATAAATCCACCCGCCGTTGGGGATTGAACGGAAGACAATAAACTGGTTAAGGCACAGATTAAGAGGTATGTATGGGTTAAGGTTTTCAAGTTTCCACAGATGATAAATGCCATAAATTGATACTCTTCACATTGTGGTGCCATCTATATTTAGCTCTAATAAGTTAAACTTGAGAAATATGAAAGACCTAATTGTCTATGAAAACTGTTACATTTTATTAAAACGTGATGGCGCTGTATTTCTATAGGGAACTTGCACTGGGTTAAACAAGGTTTTCAAACAAGCCTTAAAAAGTTTTATTTATTTGCAAAGATTTATTGGGAGGAGGAACTCTTTCAATGAGGGTTTTCTGAAATGTTCCACGTGAGATGGCAGCACTGTAGCGTCAGGTCCAACCACCTGTCAAAACACACACGATTTGTATTTTTCGATCATTTTTTTGGTTTATTCATTCTTAAAAACGTTACAAAAGGAATACTGATTTCTAAAATTCCACAGTGTTGTGCAGTGCCTATGTGTGCAAATAAAACTTTTGCCTCTCTTTTTGAGCTCAATTTTCAGTTCGGCAACCTTTCTCATGCCGTAATCTATAAGAAACTCAATACACTTCCAAATTCATAGAATTTCACTAAAATATTATACGTTCGGTAAGAATCTGCGCTATGTGACAGCTGTTTGAGCTGTTAACTAATCGTTTAAAGGATTTAAATTGCTTTTGTGGTCGTTGTAACTTAAATGCCTATACCATCCCTTACTACAATTTATTTTGTATATTGTCTGAACTGTTTAACTTTAGAATGTTGTTTTTTTTGGGTTTCAAGACATGCCATATTGAAGTATAGTAATTCGAAAGCATAATCATCATGCTGTGTTGCCAGTACACAGAATAAAAACTTAAACCGAGTATATTATTAATTTTTAATGATTATTTTCTTACAGCAATATAATTCCTATGAATATTAACATCACTACGAGTTTAGCAGGCTGTTGACAACACTGCACCTGTCCGCCGCTGCTTTTACTGCGCCTATGACGGCAGCCCGAAAACCTGAAAGTAAATTTAAGAAATATTATTATGGTCGTCGTAAGTCGTATAGTTAACCTGAGTGGAAAGCACCGGAAAAATGTTCAAAAATTCGATAGGATATCGATTCGATAGAAATTTGAGTCTGCTTCTATTAGGTCTTTACCTATGAAATTGCCGTTTTGTATGCAATAAGTGAAAGTACTTATTTTTTCAAACTTTTTTATTTCTGTTATTCGAAGTAATCACGTAATCATTCCCGAGAGGCAGTACAAAATGCCTTTGAAGAGTTTGTTGCCTCCCGTCCAGCTGATTTTTACAAGAAGGGCATCAATAAACTGCCAATGCGTTGGCAAAGATACGTCGATTGATTACTTCGAATAACAGAAATAAAAAAGTTTGAAAAAATAAGTACTTTCACTTATTGCATACAAAACGGCAATTTCATAGGTAAAGACCTATTATATAGATGTACAATGTACCTAGGTACCTAGCGAGCAATACAACTAGGAAATTAGTGGGAAGAATGGCAATTATTACAAGTGAATTATTGTTGATTGCGGATTACTCTGTTTTTTTTTTAAATTAATTTTAATAAATTAGCCCAATTCGTGTATAAATTTGTAACCTCAGTTCGGAACAATATTCTATTTCAAAATACACTTAACTTTACAAATCTCATAACATTAGAAAATCATGTCAAACATAGCATTAATATGTAAATAATTCTTTATCCAATCCTTTACTAAGGATTGGTTGTACTTAGTCGAAGTTCATTCGTTCGTGTTAAATAATAAAATAAGGTATTCCTTTTCTTTCAAAATCAACCATTACTACATTCTTACCGTACCGTACAAGTCAATCTATTCTTGACGTATCTCTATAGCTTTTTCTGACCATTTTTACATTTGCTTGTAAACGGTTTCAAAGGATTATCGTCACGTTCCTATTAATATAAAGTTTATCACAATCTTCTCTTAGCTTTAAACCTTAACTAGCTATATTATTATGTGCTATCTGTACTAAATCTACAGCATATTTTTTGGATAACATACTACCTTTATCACAATTATCACAATTCTAGCTAAACACTACCTACTACCCACAATACACTGAAACTCAGATAACCAACCATTTGCTTCTAAATGATACGTTCCCTCAGCGGTTGATCCAGCCGGACTGGTAACATTATCCTTTAAAGCAGCAGGATGAAGGCCTGTTTTTAACATCGAGGCGGAACCCAAGGTCGTCTGTGCAGCCAGGCGTAATGCCAGATCTCGCGGCAAGCCGCAGCGCACGCCACCATCAGCAAGAGATTCTATTAGCATGTAGACCTAAGGAAGGAAACATACATAATGTTAAATCTATACGATATTTATAAATCTAATCTAAAATATAAATCTATGTATGTATGTCATTAAAATAGTACTACAGAAAAAATGTAGCATTTTTGACAGCCCTGTTGGCACAGTGGTTAGTGATTCTGCCTGCTAAGCCAGAGGTCGTGGGTTCGATTCCCACCCAGGACAAAGGAGGATAATTGTGTAATGAGCACGATCATTTTTCTGTGTCTGGGTCTAGTTAAGCTATAATATGTATGTCTTTAGAAATATATATGTTTAGCAGTCTGGTTATCATTGTACTACTACTACAGGCTTTGTCTAGTTTGCGATCAGACGGCCGTGTGAGATGTCTGAAGTTATTACAAAAAACTAGGGAAAGATGGTACAAAAATACTTAAATAATACTCTCAGTTAACACCACTACATACATATGCGGGTCCACTGCCACTCAAAGCCGTGACAGCATCCATCTGGTACTCCGGCACTTCATCACACGTGCCCACTGCTCTGAAGAGTTCAGTTGTGAGCTTAGCGTCTTCAGCTGTGGCTTTAGTGCCTCTGCTAAATGCTGCAGCTCCTTGTTGAACTAGAGCTGGGGTGTTCGGCATCACTCGGATGACGCGAGCATCTGAAGGTAAGACCTGAAAAATGGAAGGTCAAGTGTCAAGTTTTTAGTGAATTCAAGTGAAAGGTATTCATGCCGTGGGTGTCGTAAAGGTCGACTAAGGAGCAAACTACGCAGAATAAGAGCACTGCAAAGAGAAGGAAAACTTTACAAAAATCCTTTACCAAACCGTCTGGCCAGCGTAGTATAGTAGGCCAACAACTCCTTCCTATCTCCAGCAGTGGACTATTACAGGTTGTTAATGTGAAGTGACAGGAGGACTTCCAAAAAGAGTTGTTTAAACGCGTCTATGTTTAATAGTAGATATCCAGCACCAAATAAAACGGTAACATAAGTTCATGGCCCCCTGGTGTCCTATTATACATATATGTCCATATTACCTAATTGGTTTATTTAATTTAGAAAATATCTTTGAACTGTAATTTAAAACTTATTTAACTTAGGTTGAATATCGTACAGCTGTATGCCATAAGAGGTACTATTTTTTTAATAGAAATATTTATGATTGTTATGCGTTTACTTCACAAATCCTATGATGCAATCTTTCACCTTATTACAATGAAATCATCTTATCTTATCTTAAGAAAATGGGCCCTATGTTTACTTTCGACTATTCACTATCTCATCATAAACTCATCATTCACTAACTACTGTAGTACATAGATACATTCACTCACGCCTGTAACGCTAAAGTGGTAGGCAGAGGCGTATTAATCATTTTCATTCATTTATTCATTTCATTCATCCTTTTTTGCCAATTATAATTTAGTCCCAGTCACCGAGACACCGGCACCTAATATATTAAACGGAAAAGGTACTTAAGAAAAACAATTAAATAATAAAATGTAGAAAACTAGACACAAACCCTTTTTTTTTTTTTTTTTAACGTGTGGAAATCCCCTCGGACCGTCACCCCTCCGGGGTTTGCGGCGGGGTGGTGTGTCGGACTCGGACCGACTAAAACCACACGGTGTGCCACTCTGCGCCTGTAACAGGAGGGATCCGGGAACAGCTGTTGTTAAGACATCCGGACCCCTCCTAGCGCCAGCCCGCTCCTGGTGCGGGCTCCGTCTCAATGTTTTTCCTCTCTTTTTTTAGGCGACGTCCGGCACACGCGGACGCCGCCCCCTCGCGGCTGGCCAAACTAATGCGGGTGGAGGGGAAACCCACCCCGTCCACCCGCGGCCACACTCAGGGCGGCATGAGGCTGTGATAGGCGGGCCTCCGCCGCCCGGTTCGCCGGCGGCGGATCGGGTCCGAGTGGAGGTCGTCCTCCCGGGCCCTCTCCGCCGCCTCCTTCCGCGAGATTACTACCTCGCAGAAGGTTGCGACCGCGGTAAAACAACTGTCGCTACCGGCCGTGGAGCGTACTACGGCCGGTAGCGAGAAATCCACTCCGATGACTGCAGTGAGGGCCCGGCGCTGCGTCGCCCATGCGGGGCAGACCGCCAGCGTGTGCTGGGCCGAGTCCTCACTGCAGTCGCAGTGGTGGCAGGCGGGACTCAGTTCCCTCCTAGCGACCGAGTGCAGGTACTTTCCGAAGCAACCGTGCCCGGAAAGCACCTGCGTCAGCCGGAAGGAAAGGGTCCCGTGCTGCCGCCCTGCCCACTCGGCGATGACCGGCTGGAGAGCCTCCACGGCGGCGAAGCCAGCGCGTGGAGTCTCCAGCCGGAACGACCAACGAGCCATCGTGGCTCGGCGAGCGGCTTCGCGCCACTCGCGCACATCCTCGGGCGGAGGGCGAAATCCGCTCTCCGCCCGGGAGTCAGCCACTCGCCGATAAACTTCGGCGAGCACTTCCGCCTCCAAATCCCACGGGGGAGTTCCGGCCAACGCGCATGCCACCTCCGTCGAAACGGTGCGGTAACCGCGTATGGCTCTGACCGCCATTACCCTCTGAGGGCGCCAGAGGCGTACCCTATTCTGGGCGGTCAGAGCCGCCGCCCACACCGGTGCACCGTACAGTGCCATTGACCGGACAACCCCCGTGTACAGCCGTCTTGTCGCGACGCTGGGTCCACCCATATTGGGCAAAAGTCGCCCTAGGGCAGACGCAGCGCCGACCAGCTTTGGAGCAAGCTGTCGGAAGTGCTCGTCGAAGAGCCACCTCCCGTCGAGGATCACGCCCAGATATTTCATCTGGGCCCGAACCGGTACAAGGACCGAGTTGACCACGATTGAGGCGCCAGGGGGTGGACCACGACGGGGCCCATGAAATAACAGGGCCTCCGTCTTATCTAGGGCCACCCGTAAGCCCAGCGCCTCAATGCGCCCGACCACCAGGGAGACTCCCCCTGTGGCCAGGCGCGCCGCCTCTTGGAAGTTTGCCCCCCGGGCTGTCACCAGGGTATCGTCTGCGTAACAGATTACACCCAGCCCGGGGTGGAAATCGGCGCGAAGGGCCCAGTCGTACCCTATGTTCCACAAGAGGGGTCCAAGAACAGACCCCTGTGGAACACCGCACGACATGGGCCGACACCTTAGATTACCTTCTCGGTCCTCGTACACGACGGTACGCTCCTCTAAATAGTCTGCCACTAGCCGCCTCAGGTACTTTGGCACCCCATGATAGTGGAGTGCCTCCCTGATGCAGCTGAATGGCAGACTATTGAATGCGTTGGCGATGTCTAATGACACCGTCAACAGCATGCCGCCACAGCTCACGGCCTCTTCGGTCACGGCCCTCAGGCGCTACACGGCGTCGACTGTCGAACGCCCCGCCCGAAATCCAAATTGGGCGTCCGACAGATCGGGGCCCACCTCGCAGAGGTGCCGGACGATGCGGGCAGAAAGAACCCTCTCGGACAATTTACCCGCCTCGTCCAGCAGCACGATGGGCCTATAGGCCGCGACCGAATCGGCAGGCCGTCCCGGCTTCCTTAATAGGACCAGCTTCCCGCTCTTCCAGCACTCAGGGAAGCGTCCCGACGCCAAGCTAGCGTCGAACACCTCCCCGAGGTGGTCTGCCATGTGGTTGAGGGCCAGGGCCAGCACTCGGGCCGGTACCCCGTCTGGCCCAGGGGCGGTGTTCTTGAAACGGATCCGTAGAACAGCCGCCCCTACCTCCGAATCCCGGACGGGCGGAACATTATCCTCCCCGTGCTCCCCGTCGTCTCCGGCCAAGGAGGCCATCGCCGGGGGAGTGTGTTCCGCTCGTTGTGGGAAAAGGCCCTCAACCACTTCTCGCAGGAAGCTGGGCTAGAGAGTCTCCGTAAGGAGGGGGCCCGACGCGCGGAGCTTTTGTCGCACCGCGCGGTAAGGGCGACCCCAGGGGTCACGATTGAGAGCTTCCAGCATCTCCTGTCTTTTTTCTTCTTTGGCGCGCCTAATGGCCAGCTTCAGAGTTTTCCGCGCTTGTCGGTACTCCTCATGAAGCCGGTCCTCCTCACCGTCTCCACGGTGACGCCGCCGACTGCGCGTGTAGGACCTCCGGGCACGTGTACAGGCCGCACGGAGGTCCGCCAGCTCCTGGGACCACCAGTAGACCTCCTTCCTTGGAGGCCGACGACCTCGAATGCGGGGCATGGCCGCATCGCATACATGCGTAATCGCATCGCGAAAGCGACCAGCCCCCACGTCGACCTCCTCGGTCGGAGCCTGAGGAGACAGCCACGAGTGAATTATGGCTGCCTCCTCTAGTAGGTCCCGGTTCAGTCTGGCAACAGCCCACCGCGGAAAGCGGGATAAACGCCGCGCCACGTGATCCCTACTGGAGTCCTGGGTCCGGGAGAGCTCAAATCGGATATACAGGTGATCCGAGAGCGTCTCAACCTCTTCCAGGACACGCCAGTTCCTTACCCGTGCGGCGAGGGCAGGGGTAGCGAACGAGAGGTCCACTATCGACCCCCCTGCTGTCGCACGCACGTGTTGGTGGAGCCTCTGTTGAGAAGACAGAGGCCCACCGAGGCCGCCCACTCCTCTACGGCCTCGCCCCTTGCGTCCGTCCTGGGGGAACCCCACGCAATGGACTTTGCGTTGAAGTCCCCCAGCACAAGGACGTGCCCAGACGCTAGTCGCCGTATCGAGGTCTCCAAGCTGGTTAGGAAAACCTCGAAGTCGTTCAAACTCCGGTTGGGGGAGAAATAAACACCATATATGGTGATCCCCCCCCACTCGACGGCAACATATCCAGTGCCCTTGTCTCTTAGCGACAAGGGCGGGGAATGAGCCGTCGTGGAACCGACGACTGCCACGGAGCCGTCCCAGTCACCCATCCAGTTTGGACGGGGAGGGACAGAATAGGGCTCCGCGACTACGGCAACACCTATCGACCACTGTGCCATGGTCTGCAGGAAGAGATCCTGCGCCGCGGCACAGTGGTTCAGGTTCGTCTGGACCAGGAGGTTGGAGACTTGATCCATTACTGGATCGTCTCTACAACCTCCTCCATGGGCGACGACGCCGACGCAATATTGACGTCGGGGGTAGCCTGGGTCGACTGGCTAGCCCCTGACGTCTGCCGAGAACTGCGGGGAGGCTTGCAGCCTCTCTGCCCCATCTGGTGATTGGCGGGCTTATTGCCCGCCGCACACGCTGGGCAGTGAGGGGCGGCAGAGCATTCTGCCGCCTTATGCCCCGGTTGATCGCAGCGGAAACACAGTCCGCCGCAGTCGAAACAGCTGTCGCACTTGACGCGCGTGTGTCCCGATGCTAGGCATTTGTAGCACCTCATCGGTCTCGCCGCCAGGACTGTGATCCTGGCGCTCACGAAACCGATGAGCAGCCTGCCGGCGTCGGCCAATACTTTGGCCGACGCTACGGGACAGCTGACCCACACGGCGCCAAGCCCTCCTGGACCGGGGCGGATGGTGCCGACCCTGACGTTGTCCGCGCTGCACCCCGTCTTCTCCCGGATTACAGCGCGGACATCTTCGGCCGTCACTGAGTCGTCCAGGCCCGAGATGCGCAGTTTCGCGCACTTGGTAGGCCTGGCGACCCTGACACCATCTGTGGCCGCAAATATTCCCCGCAGCCTCTCAGCAAAGGAGCCGTCTTTGCGCCTTCAGCCCCAGGGAACTCGAGGACTCGAGCTCCCGTCTGGGCGAGGCGCATCCTGACCCCCACCGTCCCAAACTCGTTGGCGAGGCTGTCCCGGGCCTTTTTGAAGACGGCCGCGTAGGACAGCCCGCCGTCAGCCGCCTCCGGGGACACGGTCACCACTACAGCCGCGGTTTTGGGCGGCTGCAGCTTCCGCGGCCTCTTTGCAGAGGCCGTTGCCACCGGTGGCGAAGGCTGGGCTTGGGCTGCTTTTTGGGCAGCCCTTCTGGCCCGCCTTCGGGACTTCTTGGAGCCCCTCGCCTCCTGCCAACCCTCGTTGGAGGGGGCAGGTGCGGAGGGGCCCGGCAGGGGTGTCGGAGTGGGGAGCGGAGGGAATGCCACTCCGCTCCTCGGCGCCGTTTTAGGCCCCGTCTTGGCCGGCACTTTGGCCTGCGCCTTGGCCGGCGCCTGGGACGGTGCTTCGGCCGGCGCCTGGGCCGGTGCCTTGGCCCCCCTCCTCGGCTTTTGGGGAGCCGATGGAGTAGGGGCAGACGCCGCCGCCGCGTAAGCAACGCGGCCTCCCACCACGGGGAGCGCGGTCGGAGCGGCGGCCTTAGGCCGCTGTGCCGACGCGAGCGGGGGGCGCACAACTGGCGCAGGGGGCAGTCTCGCCTCCAGGCCAGCCAGGCGTCCGTCCAGCATATTCCCAACTGCGATGAGGATTTCACGCAGTTGGGAGTCAAATGCCCCTGAGTTGGTGGTAGGGGCAGGCTGGGACGCGGACGGGGCTTCCCGCTCGGGGAGGTTCGCCTGGAAGCGGGCGAACTGAGCGCTCAGCTCGTTCACCCGCTCTGTCAGCCTCTCGTTGGCCACCTGTAGGCGCGAGACGTCGCCCACTAGGCCCTCCACGACCTCCGACAAAGCGGAGGAGGAGTCCTTGAGGGCCCTCACAAATGAGCCCTTAAGGTTCACGGACTTGGTGGCCACCTTGTGGATGACGGCCACCGCCGCTTTCGCCCTCTCCTGCACGGACACGGGAGCCTGGGGGGCATTTCCCCCCACCGGCTCCCGAACCTTGAGCAGGAGATCCGCGATCTCCTCCTCCGCTACGGCCTCGCCGTCCACCCGTACACTTCTGTACGACTCCGCGTTTGAGAACGCGGAGCCTGACGGGGTCGAGACCGAGGCCGAGGCCGGTTTACGTGGCCTCCCTCGACGGCTGCTTGCCACCTTTGGTGGCATCGTCTCTGCGGACGTGTAGGTTTCCTCGTCCCCTGAGCGTCCGCGTTTCCGGCTGTCGCTGCGATGTTCCGCTTCCATGGCCTGCGCACCATCTGATGAAACGGCAGATCCTGAACGCAGCCGATCTGATGCTCTTCGGCTCCCAGAGACCAGCGTCAGACTGACTTCTGGGAGCCCCATCGAGATAGGCGTTCCCGACGCAAACCCTATACCAACCCGTCTGGCCAACGTGGTATAGTAGGCCAAAACCTCCTTTCTAAGGAGAGGCTTATGTCCAGCAGTGGACTATTAAAGGCTGTTGATGATGATGATGATGATGATGAGAAAACTAGACAGTCGTAGAAGATCGTAGACCGGTTCTAACTTTTTTTAAGTTGGTACCAGTCTGCGATCTCATTTATGAACACACATAATTAATAGATCAGCAGATCACATGGGTTTTGTAAGCTTCTAATTAAAAAATTCAAGTCTTACCTTTTCAATAGCGCTAGTGCTAACACCCATTGCTACTGAGATAAACAACTTATTTCTGGAACTTTCTAGGTTTTTCACCTCCCTTAGGGCTGGTATAACAACATCTGGTTTCACGGAGACAATAACCACTTCTGATCTCTCTACTACGGGCTTGTTCTCGAATACTGCCATTGCTCCGAGTTTCTGTGAGGTAAGAATAAGATTAAGAAGGTGATAATTTTTCTAGCACATAGAATTATCTGGTATCCAAGGGGATTTCCGCACAGAAAAAAAAGAGGAACATATTAAGATATTATGACAATAGTTACTAAGTTAATTTTTGTTATAAATATTTACACAATAATCTCTACGTAATCTGCGATAAAATTTAATTTAGTAAACTAATTAAATAGCTCTATGTAACTTCTTATCTATTTTTTCATAAAATATGACGCAGAACTTCCTTTCATGAGTTCCACTCTGATTTAAATTACCCATCCGTTATATTACGTGTTTGTAACTATTAATTATTAAATACTATCCATAATTATCCATTCTTGTCGCGTCACAATGCATTGGGCTACCTTTACCTAACTGATATCATGGCTTCACAGAAAATTGGTGTTAAACAATTTTTTCGTCTCTTTTCACCGAATGAGTGAGTTACAGAAGCCCAAACCCCCTTCTCCCCTATTCTGGGCGGAGCGACTCAAAAGGCGGCAAAGCATTTGTGACTATTGAGTTTCAGGTATCCATGGCCGGTGGTAATCACTTAAAACACAGGTGACGCGTCTCCTCGTTTACCCCCCAAGCCATAAAAAAATTCTACTTTATTACTTTATTTTTTTTATTCAAATTTTTGATTTCGACACTGCTCCGAAAATATGTACCTAAGCCTTTTTTAGGTATACCTACCTTTATTTTCATGACGCGATTACGTTAGGTAAAAACACTGGAGTTAAACCGAATAGAACCACATGACAAACCCCTCGGCCCATAAAATCCTTTAAATGAGTTTAACTAAAGAGACATGCGGAGAAACAATATTGTCTTTGCGAAGTCGGAAGCAGCAGCGAATCATCGCACTCGTCAAAGACAAAAAGTGATAACAAAAACTTTCTGTGATCAGGGAATTTGTAACCTATAAAGAATTTCGTTCTGGATTTAAGGCATATTATCGAAATTCATTACTTGATACTTTTATTCTAAACATACTGAACAACACAGATCTTTAACGCAAAAATTCCATTATAAAATCCATTTTGGTCAATCAGGTTCATTCATCACATATGATGTGCGTATGCATGTAAACTTTACTCGTTGTTTCCATTGTATTTCGTAGTTTACAATGTTTTTAGATCTTTTTCAATATTCTTTATTTACCTTAAATGCGTCAGCACTTGTTAGATCAGCTGGATGTACGCTCGCAGTGATTTCATCGGGTTTCGCCAAACCTATAATTAAAATTTACACATTTGATTGATGAATAAATTGTAAAATTTTGCCTGTTTTTGAATTCATAGGAATGTTTTTAAACTGTAACAACCTACTAAATTAATTCAAGTTAAAATTAAATTCGATTACGCATTTCGCCGCCAGTGACACCATTGTGGATATCAAGATACTCGTATATAGATTCCACAAGAAAATATTTTTCTTGTGGAATCCATATTTCATTTGAGACCGTGAAAGCTCTCTTTGTAAGAACTCAAGGATTTACACGTATAGATAGTCCCCGTTCCACTATCAATAATAATGTAATAGACAGCGAATTTTCTCTAGTCTGACGCAATAGGACTTTTCATGAGAATAATAAAAGTTAAGCTTCTCAAATACTAAACTGCTAAATTCTCTGTGCAAATCTAAAGAATCATACATATATTTGACGGTGAATTATCTCTGCAAAGGCCCGTGACGCAAATAAGATAGGGCAAATGGTGACATTATCAGAGCCATATAGTTCAGTTTACTATTCAAAGCAAAAAAATATAATAATTGTTAAAGCTTACTTTTCGTACGCCCATAAAACAATTGTGAGTTTATTTCACAGAATTTAGGTTTTATAGTTTAATGAAAGTGATGTTTAAGCCTAAGGCAAACGCTACTATTTACATAGAAGGGAGGTTATCAATTCGGATGTTTATATGTTTTTTAGGGTTCCGTACCCTTATAAGATCACTTTCTTGTCCGTCTGACCGTGTGTCACCACCGACTCTCTCAGGAACGGGTAGACCTAGCAAGTTGAAATTTATACCAGATACTGAGGTCTATGGACCCTATTAGGTGAATAAAAATCAAGGTCCTGAGTCAACACGATAAAAATATATGTGCAAATTTCGATTATTGCGAAAACTTGTAAGTACCAAAATTTACCTTAATTTTAAATATTTTTTTAAAAAAAATTCTCTTTACTTGTGCTGTAAGACCTTGCTTTTAACCAAAATTGTCAATTCTAGGTCAACCGGAAGTACCCTATAGGTTTTGGTTAGAAAACCTATATTGTAGTTCCCGTTGACCTGGAATCACGAAATTTGGCAAAAAGAAAGGTCTTACAGCACAAATAAAGGAATAATACCAAAAAATAAAAAAAGTTGAAAATTAAGATAAATTTTGGTACTTACAAATTTTATTAGGTAGGTCTATTAAATTAGGTAATTCATACGTTTATCATTGTAACTATCACTCACAAAATGTAAATATATTTTCTCGAATTATTTGTCACAATTGACAAATAATTTTCAATAATTTGGCTTGGAAAACATTTCATTTTATTATCATTTTCGTTTAAATATTTACTCTACTAGCGACAAAGAGACAAAAAGAGAGATGAAGAAGGAGCAAGAAAGAGACGCCAACAATTTTATGACTTATTTTCTGACAATGTCCAGCGCCGAGTTCGCGAGTGGCAATTTAATGTTGAAATAAAAAGATACTTATAGCAATCGGCGGTAATGTGCTAGCATTATCATCATCACTATCCCGACTACTGCCGATATTATTTGGGGTAGCTGCAATGTATAACATTTAACAAGAGATGTGACTAGTTTTATTTTCGGACGACTCTACTTGAATCATTTTCAGACAGGACAAATAAAAAATTAAATTGCTGTAAGGAAAACGATTAGAACGAGGAAACTAGGATACGGGATATCGTAAGTCTCGGATGAGAAATGAGAATTAAACTGCGGTAGATTATTAGATTATTAATAGATTAAGATTAACTGCAACTGACTAATGACGGCACTTTTGTGGGCCACGAGCTGGGCTAACCTTTTGAAATATCCAATTCTAAAGTTATGGCTCTCCTTTTTTTTCAACTATTAGAAACCCAAAGTTCGTCACCTCACTGCGGCTAAGCAGTCTAGTGATATGAGAGCTTCGAAACTAGGGATAGAATAAAATCACAATCACATGCTAAAAATCATATGCTTTAAAAATAATGTCATCACACTCTTAAGAAGTAATAGGTTATCTTGGTATGGACATGTCATGCGGAGGGATGAGGAAAATGTGGCGAAGAAAGTTTTAGGTATGAGAGTTGAAGGGTACAAGACAAGAGGCAGACCGAAGAGGTGGATAAACTGCCTCAGTGAGGATATGGCTAGGAAGGGAGTAAACAGTGAGATGACGCATGACAGAGTAGAATGGAAAAATCATACATACTGCGCCGACCCCAAATAACATTGGGAAAAGGGTAGGCAGATGATGACACCCGACTGATATACAAAGCTAGGTACTGCTACCTAATTATTATTATTACGTTAAAAAAAAAGCATAAATTTGATAAAACGAATTTTGATTGATTTCAATGGCATTGATTTTAGTCTATCACTAAACAAAAAAAAAATTTTTGTTTAGTTGCAGCAATAAAGGCTTATTATCCAGTCTATCACGAAATCACAATCACATGTGAAATCGCTGTGGTTAAAAGCAATCAATTCATCAAATAAATATGATTTAAAAGTAGCCTTAATTTCCATGTCTACTCGAAACGGAGTAATGGAGTCCTTATTGCTAAGGTCTCAGTTCTACACTCGATAGGAAATGTTTATATAAAATATATATAACATAAAACCTAACAGATTTGGCCGAGATCATCACATACCCTCAATATGTGATAGTTAATAAAATATTTAACAATAACGATACTTACCAGCTGATATAAAACCATTGGCCAAAGCGAAGGCCAATCGGCCCCCTCCGATAAAACCGATCTTCATAACTTCACTTAATGATACTGTAACAAATAGAAACATATATGTTAACTTTCGTGCCACTTTTATTTGAAATGTTGACAGATTTCAATAACAAAATAATTATATCTTTGATGTTAAATGGGATGAAAAACAAAGTATAGATATTGCTTGACTTTAACGGAACGTGGTAGAGGTGTTTTTATAAGATGTGACCACGGACGTGACACACATTATTTGTTTTTGAGAAAAAGAAAAGTACAATTTATTAAATCTTAACTAATACGAGAATGATAAAACTGAAGAGTTTGTTTATTTGTTTCGTTGAACGCGCTAATCTCAGGAACAACTGCTTCGAATTGAAATTATTATTATTATTATTTTAGTGTTGGATAGCCCATTTATCTAGGAAGGCTATATAACACCACGTTACGATCAATAGGAGGCGAGCATCGATAAAAAAAAACCTTTTGAGAGCCGCAGACGTAGCTGCAGTAGTATAAATGTGATATTAAGAATATTTTTTATCAAAAACTCAAGTTACAATTAAAATTAAAATGTTGATTGGATTGCACAATGACCAGTATATTTTAAGATATTCTATGTGCACAAACGTTGTTTGAACTTCAAATTACTGCGTGATAACCCCGGAGTCAAGCGTCGTAAAGAAACAACAAAATATTGTATTCGCTGATAATACTGTAATATATCTGATTTAATATACAGTAGTTATGTTTACGTAGCACATCACTAACTTTTTTTAATGTTTATTTTATTCATTTGATAAATTACCTTATCATTTTTCGTTAATTTATCATTTGTTTGTATCTCACCGTTCCTAAAATATTATAAGTACGTTTCAAAAAACATTACATATTAAATAATTTAATCAATTTTAGAAGTTTTTTTATCCCTACTGCATAATCTATATATATATATATAAGAGATTTCCACGTATATAGTCACTCATCACGATATCTCTGGAACCATTAGAGCTAAAGACTTGAAATTTGGTAGGAACCTTTTCACCGAGTAGAGGTCAGCTAAGAACGGATTTTAAGGAATTCAAAAAATATATATTTTAAATAATGTAAATAGCAAAACAACGTTTGCAGGGTCAGCTAGTAATCAATTAAATAATGTCTGACGAAAAACTTTCGAAAGCCAGACAACGCATTCGATCACATTAATGTATAGGTATAAAATGCATTATCCTGACTGACTGACTAACTCATAAATCAACGCACAGCCTCAACTGCTGCTCGTAGGGACGTATAATTTGGAGGATCACATATTTGTTTAGAAAGGATTTTTATAAATTCCAAATTTATATGTCATTGTAAAAAGATGTTTGTTTGCCTAATAGACTACAATAGTAGGACATGGTGATAGTCAAGTTGACAATAAAAGTCAAAACGTCACTCTGATGACATTAAAAACAAAACATAGACAAAAAATAATCTTAGGAAGGAACGCTAGGAGAAAATGTTTTAACTTTCCGAACTTACTTAGACATTTCACGTGGACGCCTCTTTGGACGTGTAAAGTATGGACGACTAGAAAAGTAAATTAAATAATTCGCAATCATAACCACTATTTTATTCATCAACTTTATCATCAAATAAATGAAATCGAAGAAGTTGTTTGTACTATCGAAACAATAATCAATTCATACGACATACGATTCTATATTGTACTTAACAGATAGTTCTGTTCTTCTATCTGTTAGTGCCGGCTCCTATCCAAAACAGATGGACTGATTTTGAAGGGACTTTCATTGTCATATAGCTGATATTATGTATGGTAACTCACGCATCTTGTAAAACAAACTTTTTTTAAATATATTCGAATAGAAATATGTAATATAATAATAATAATATAAACAATCAAGAGATAGGTAAAGGAAAAGGCACCAACTGTTGTTGTGAAATATTTACTTGAATAAATATAGAGACCATTTTGCGAATCTGACTCCTAGTTCCAGATATTAATGCTTAAACAAACAAACAATGAAACAGATATACTCTTCGTCTTTTAGTATAAATACTAGAAATTTTCACCTTTTAACTTTTCTAAAAAAAACTTGGCACTGATTTAAGTTAATTTTAACACTAAACAATTACATTATATTAATAGTCTTGAGCTCAATAGAAAAATTATTATATACACGTATATAATAGTAGATCTCTTCCAAAAGCACAAAAACAATTTTATCTTAGACAACAATTAAACCAATTTCATATCAAATTATAGACTGCAAGAAATAGGAACATAAATATAGTGTGGAAATTATTATGAAACTCACGGCCACAGTCGTCCGAAAACGTAAAATGTGTGCGTCACGTCTCGTCGCCGTAATTGTACTAAACTAACTATTACTAAAACAGCATTTGAGTATGAAGTGAACTGGCTCTTCCTGAGGTTACGTGTTCCGCTCTTATCTCTTCAGAAGATAACGACAATCAATACAAACGATCACTTATAACTTGTTGGTTATTTTTATAGCGGTAACGATTATGGAGGTGTGAATAGATGGTCACGAATTAAGAATACGGAGTGTCACCACAGCTATTCATCCCGTGGTGGTCGTAAGAACGTAGGAACAAACTACGTAGGACAATAACAACTCTGCAAAGAGAAGGAAAACTTGAAACAGACCCTATACCAACCCGTCTGGCGCGCGTGGTATAATAGGCATAAACCTCCTTTCTATGGAGAGGCCTATGTCCAGCAGTGGACTATTAAATTGTTGATGCGGATGATGAATGTTTTCTTTGGTTCAAATATAAAGGCTCATAAACGAATAAGTATACTCCTAAGTATATTTTAAATAAACCTATTGTGAATGACTTGTTTTATTTTATTGATTACAGTATTAACTGGAGGACACAATTTTAACCCAAAAGTTTTATATAGTCATTTTACATAACTTTATGGTACACATCGTTATAATATTTCGCACCTTTTAGACGTATAAACATTAAGTTTCCACATAAGAAATGCTTCCCTTCGCCATATTTGTTTAAAGAAACTTATTTGTACAAAAAAAAATATTCATGAAAAAAAAAACGATTGGTATTAGGGAATGGTTAATTGTTTTAGTTTCACATAGTCTTGTGTTAATGTCCATCAATATCATCTTTCATCATACTTACAGCAAATATGGCAGGGAAAATATTGACTTAGAATATATTCCATGGTAAATATTAACCAGTTGGCACAATTAATCTAGACTCTAGGGGTTCAACCTTGCGGACAGTTTATCATGCAGCTGGTGTAAATAAATGTCCTTTTTATTGTCATTATGTTGTATTCATTTAATATTTATATTATTTAATAGTAATAAATGAAATCTACCACAGAGCAACACGATCCGGTCCTCCGCCGGTGACCTGTGTTGCTCTATGTTAATATACAATTTATCAAATATTCTGTAATCTTTTCGGATTGGATTTATTGTAGTCTAGATGGTATACGCTACTTCGTTTGCCTGGATTTTGAAAAGCGCTGTTTTAGTGGTTTAGTACGGTACGCGACTGCAGTCCATGAGGCCTCGGGTTCGATGCCCGAAGTGAACACCCAGACTCAGAACAACAATTTGTGAATCACACAAAGTTTTATCCCGTGTGGACATCGAGCCCACAACACTCGGATCAGTAGAAAGCGGTGAGCGCATAAACCACTACGCCACCCGTGCCATCTTTATTACCGGTGATAAGCGTTACAATATATTTAAGCATTATTATTATTAAGTAATTTTCCGTTACAAAATTAGGATGTTATGGATTAGGATGTTTTATATATTACCTACTATTCACCCATATAATCTGTAATTAAATAAATCATCGAGATAAGAAATAAATAGGTATGACGACTTTAAGAGAATTACTTGAGTAATTTGAGCGACTTCGAAAGATGGATATCTGATATCCTAACTGCTAGGGTTTAGAAGTTTGGATGCCATTGTCCCAGTAAAAATCTGAATTAAAAGTAATAAACATGAGCTCGTAATTAAGATATAATATACAAGATTTAAAAAGTCTTTAGTCAAATAACACGTAGGTTGATTGTAACTAGATCAACAGACTATTCTGACATTAATGTGGTCTTAAAGTCTGCTCATTCGTGGGACGTCTTTTACTGGACATAACCCTGGCGGTTGGAAAGTCAGCATCCGTCAAAAACTGTTTATGATAACAGCAGTGCTATCCTGCAAGGAAATAGGCTTGCGTACAGCGCTGCCACAGCGTCGAACTTCAAACTCATTTCAAACGGTTTGAAAATTGACTGGCTATTTGGAATTGGCTATTTCTTTCTTAAGTAAAAATGTGGTGTGGCTAGTGTGTTTATTATTATTATTATTTTTTCTATTTTTTATGTTTCACTTCATTTTCTCTTGTATTCGTTTTTTTTTCTTAATCTTGTTTTCTCTTCATTGTCTTTTTACCTTTTAGTCCTTAATAACGGGCATACTAGCACACATCAAAACAATGTTGTGGTATACTTATTTAATAGTGCCATTGTCTATCTACCTGTGAATTGCAAAAGAGTGGCCATGAGTTTGTTTCCCCTTTCTTCTCACAAGGCTCAACCCCTTGGAAACGGGCGGTTGTAGATCGGCACAGGCATATCATAGATTTTGTATGGGTTTGATTTTTGTTAAATCTATTTGCTTACTATTTGACAAAACAGAGATTGTTGCTTTTGTATGTGTTGATCTATGACTTTAGAGTTTAGAGTCTACATAAAAGACGATTTCAAACAATTTTGAAAATTTTATGAAATAAAGAGAGTTTGAGTTTGACGCTGTGGCAGCAGTACGCAAGGCTGTTTCCTTAGAGGATAGAACTAGCGCTGCAAGTTGCAAGTTGTAAGTAAAAATCTTCGCCATTTTATCATTAGACGTGGTCATATTTTATCTAATTATTTTTCATTTTTGTTGGCAAGTTATAAATAACTTGATCTGTCATTGTAAAGACTTTTGTACCATGACAAGCCAACTTAAACAAAAGACACTTAACTCGTTA